GTACACAAAAGGCCTATTTCTCTTAAATATTGTTCACAAATCTGTCTAAATCTGTGTTAGTGAGCACTTCTCCTTTGCCGAGATAATCCATCCACCTCACAGGTGCTGATTAGACAGCATGATTATTGCACAGGTGTGCCTTAGGCTGGCCACAATAAAAGGCCACTCTAAAATGTGCAGTTTTACTGTATTGGGGGGTCCGAAAACCAGTCAGTATCAGGTGTGACCACCATTTGCCTCACGCAGTACAACACATCTCCTTCGCATAGAGTTGATCAGGCTGTTGATTGTGGCCTGTGGAATGTTGGTCCACTCCTCTTCAATGGCTGTGCGAAGTTGCTGGATATCGGCAGGAACTAGAACACGCTGTCGTATAACAATGGGCCTCAGGATCTCGTCACGGTATCTCTGTGCATTCAAAATGCCATCAATAAAATGCACCTGTGTTCGTTGTCCATAACATACGCCTGCCCATACCATAACCCCACCGCCACCATGGGCCACTCGATCCACAACGTTGATTGTACAGTGAAAACTGGGATTCATCCGTGAAGAGAACACCTCTCCAAAGTGCCAGACGCCATCGAATGTGAGCATTTGCCCACTCAAGTCGGTTACGACGACGAACTGCAGTCAGGTCGAGACCCCGATGAGGACGACGAGCATGCAGATGAGCTTCCTTGAGACGGTTTCTGACAGTTTGTGCAGAAATTCTTTGGTTATGCAAACCGATTGTTGCAGCAGTTGTCCGAGTGGCTGGTGTCAAACGATCTTGGAGATGCTGGATGTGGAGGTCCTGGGCTGGTGTGGTTACATGTGGTCTGCGGTTGTGAGGCCGGTTGGATGGGCTTATGGTAGAGAAATGAACATTCAATTCACGGGCAATAGCTCTGGTGGACATTCCTGCAGTCAGCATGCCAATTGCACGCTCCCTCAAAACTTGCGACATCTGTGGCATTGTGCTGTGATAAAACTGCACATTTTATAGTGGCCTTTTATTGTGGCCAGCCTAAGGCACACCTTTGCAATAATCATGCTGTCTAATCAGCATCTTGATATGCCACACCTGTGAGGTGGATGGATTATCTCAGCAAAGGAGAAGTGCTCACTAACACAGATTTAGACAGATTTGTGAACAATATTTGAGAGAAATAGGCCTTTTGTGTACATAGAAAAAGTCTTAGATCTTTGAGTTCAGCTCATGAAAAATAATTTTGTTCAGTGTATTTTTTACCACAGAGATTTTCAGTATAGATATTTTCCAAGTTACTTTTTTTTCTTCTTCTTATCCTCAGGACTGTAAAATCCAAAATACCGTTCGAGAGTACTGCAAAATATTTGCAGCTGAGGCCAGAGTGATTGAAAACTTTGGATTCTCATTAGAGTAGGTCTATGAAGTAATATTGACTAAAAGACATTTCTATGCAATGCATGTGGCTACAAATAAGAGATTATGTCAAAATGATCTAATTTCAGACTTCTTTGCTTCTCTAAATAAATTCAGAGTCATCCCCCTTCACCTGATGTATCGACCTGCCAATACAATTCCATATGCTACAGTAGAGACTGATCTGAATGGTGTGTATGTGAAATACTGTCTGATGGACAGCACAGGAAGACTGGTCGCCAGAGCCACCTCTGAGGTGGAGCAGAAGTGTTGCACTTTCCAGCACTGGATCCATCAATGGACCAATGGAAACCTCCTGGTTACCCGGTTAGAAGGTAAAGAGATATTTACTTGTACTTTTGAGTAAGTTGCTAAGTACTCCATTTTAAAATATTCCTAAATATATATAAATATAATAGTATAAAATAAACTCTTGTGTGTTTCAGGTGTCGATTCAAAGATTACAAGCATTAAAATTGTTACTAAGTCTAAAGGGTTGGTACATTTTACTAAGAGATTATATTGTTTAACAATTTTTCTGATATTTCCACTTCTTCAGTTTTTTTTTTCTTGGAGAGACTAATATTTTTATGTCTGCTGCAGGTATCAAGGCCTCACAGATAAAGGATCTCCAAAGATAATCGAGCAGTTCATTACTCAACATCAATGTAATTTTTACTGTGGACTTTTCGGCCTAAGACCCTTAAAGCCAATGGAATCTCTAGCACAGCCTAAAATAAAGACCTCCAGGAGCCCTCTACTGGCCAAGAGGGGCGTAACAGGCTCATCCAGCCCTCAGCTTCAGAAGAAAGGAACCAGCCCACAGTCCACCAGGAAAGGCACGTCTAGCCCCAAAGTGGTTAAAAAGACAGGTGAAGCTGGGGAGAGCAATTCCACCACCAAACACAAAGCTGTGGAGGTCCCAAAAACTGTCAGGATGAGGTAGAAAGAAGGACTAGAGCTCTTGGAAACAACTTGCAAAGCAACTACGGCATACTTTTTTGATTTTCTCACCAAACTTTAGTTTGGAGCCTGTGTAATTATCTATAGCTACTGTTGTACAGGACAAATGGCTTCCAGTAAATGGATTCTGTCAATTGACTTTGCACATAGTGTCTAAAATGCAACAAATAAGGAAGAAATGTCTATAAAGAAACAAGGATAGTAAAAGAGTGAATGACCAGAGGTGTCTGGCCATTTTTAATATTACTGTGAACTGCTTTGCAGCTATAAGTCACCATCAATACCTCCGGAGAGAACCTTCATTTTATTTTTAAGAGCTGAATTGAGGCAATCCCCTTTTTAAGACTAAAGAAAAATACTAAACCTGGCTGCCTGTAGACAGATTAACAATGTTTTCAGATAGACTCTGGAACTTTATGATTTATTCAAATGTTCCTATGTCAAGTTTATATGACTGAGGAACCGTGAGAGAGGGACTCTTCAAGGATTCCTCAAACATCTGTGATGTATGTGTCTCAGTTGTGTAGAAATGCAGCTTTTTTCCGTAGCGGTCGCTGAGGTGCTTTTTATGGTGAATTGTTCTGCTTTTAAGGAAATGGCCGTTAATCTGCAACACCAGTGCACCGATATTGGTTGTATATGGGCAAAGTATTAGTGTCATAATCAATGCAGTTGTGTTTTCATCTTAAATGTGTCTCCTAGAAGAGGGAAAATCATGTGCTTTATTGTCACAGTAAAGCCATTTACTACTGACCTTTCAGACTGTTCATGCGTCATCTATCTCTGGAACCCTCCAACTTCACACAAATGGACTATATATACAGTATATATTATACTAACATTAAAAAGTTTGGGGTCAGATATTTATAGTTTTATTCAGCAAAGATACATTAAATTGACCAAGAGTGACAGTAAAGACATTTCTAATGTTACAAAAGATAATGCTGTACTTTTGAACTTTCTATTTATCAAAGAATTCTGATAAAAATGACCACAGTTTACACAAAAATATTAAGCAGCACAAAATGAAAATTCAGCTTTGCCATCATAGGAATACATTTTAAAATATGTTAAAATATAAAACAGCTATTTTGACCATTTTTTTCACCATATTACTGTTTTTTACTGTATTTTTGATTAAATAAAGCCTTTGTGAGCATGAGAGACTACTTTCAAAACATTCAGAAATCTGACTTACCCCAAACGTTTGAATGCTCAATGTTTACAGGTTTTGATATTTTGAAATGTATGTTCATTGAAAATAACCAAAATAAATAAATAAATGTAACGATCTAAACATTTTACCCCATTCACAAGATTTAGTAACCATTATTTAGCAAAAAAAGGCTCATGCTAAACTAACTCATAAAATATCCATGGAGTACTTGTTTAGATGTATATGAAAGGTTACCACAGATAGTGGTCAGACATGATAAGATAGGGCATACTAAGGTCTGTGTAGTGGTTTATATTATAAAAACTATATGGATTGTAGTGTAGATTAGAGAGAGAAGATTAGTGATATACAGTATGTTTGTAGGATGAGCTTTTTAGGTGTTTTTGTTGTGTTGTGTTACATTTTTTTGTAAAATAAATGTGTAAATAGCAGCAGAAACTTCTTTGACTCATTTTACCATCCAAAGGCAGAGTCCATTGCTTCATATCTTAAAAACTGCTTGCCTCACCGAAGAGCCCTTTGGCCCTTATTGGTTATGCTTTACTCCTGTAATGTAATATTTTCACAGCAATTCCAGCATAACTGTCAGAATGAAACACTGCAGAGCACAATGTCTTGATATCAATCACGTCAATGGATGTAAATTACAAAAATGATTATAAACTTTACATAAGACAGAACGTCTCAGGTTACTTATGTAACCATGGTTCCCTGAGTAGGGAACGAGACACTGCGTCCTCTAGGGGTCGCTATGGGGAACGCCTCGTCGTGACCCGTGTCTGAAGCATACATTGAAAAAACACCAACTCGTTGGCCGGCGACAGCCATGACGTCATTCCTCGAAAAGAGAGACAAACGAGAGCGGAGCTTTTTTTATTTTTTCTTTGAAAAAAACGCTCGCAGTGCACGCCGATTGCCCCCTCGGAGGCATCGCGTGCGTGCTCTTTGCCCAAACAAAACAACGCATAGATCGTGTGTGTCATCAGATGTTAAACAACGTCAACACGGATGCACACATCCTTAAATGCTTTGCTAGTGCTCGCCATAATGAGATAAATAGAGATCGCTCTTACCACAGAAATGCACGCTTCAAACAAAACAGTCAATGAAGACGAAGAAGAGAATGATGTGTGCTCCCGGCGCCTATTTATATTATAGTCGCACCGGTAGTGACGTCATGGCTGTCGCCGGCCAACGAGTTGGTGTTTTTTCAATGTATGCTTCAGACACGGGTCACGACGAGGCGTTACCCATAGCGACCCCTAGAGGACGCAGTTCGAAGTTCCCATGAAAGGGAACAACACCAATTGAATTAAATTTACAGCATTTACAGAACATAAAAATACTTGCACGTGCATTGTGCTAACACACTGTTACATCTATAAAGAAATTATGTATGAATAGCTATATGACTAAATAAAATCAAACATACTCTGCACATACATACTTAACATACATTTCAAAATGTGTGAATTTAATAAATAATTTAGTTCAGAGGTGTTTTCTGCATTGTTGTATCGTTACATATTGGACAAACTACAGGCAAGCGGGTTCCTGATAGAGACCACAACAGTTTGCAAAATAAATTGTTGCATTTTTCACTTTACTCCAGGACCCCTCGAAAGAAATTGTTCCATTGTTGATAGTGCTGCAAACAAACAAACATTTTTATATTGATGCAGTCTAAATAAATATTTCCCAGATTAAAGGAACAGTTCACCCAAAACTAAAACAAATTACTGAAAATGTACTCATCCTTAGGCAATGGATCCTCTGCGGTGAATGGGTGCCGTCAGAAAGAGTACTGCACATGCAGCTCATAAAAAAACATCACAATAAGCTGCAAGTAATCCACAAGACTCCAGTCCAAAATCCAACAACATATTTGTTTAGAACTGTTTTTGCTTGTAAACAGTGCTTGATCTGTGCATATTTCTCTCCTGAATAAAACAATACAACTTTTTCACTGAGGAAAGCAATATTATGATAGAGGACTCATATTTTAGTTTGAAGCAACAGTTTAAAGTTAAAATGCCTTGATGTGATTTGTTATCACAGTTTTTCACTTCTGATGTTAATAGATGGACTGGAGTCATGTTGATTACTTGTGGATTATTGTGATGTTTTTATCAGCTTGGACTCTCATTCTGATGGCACCCATTCACTGCAAAGGATCCAAGTGATGGGACGCTAAAATTTCTCCAAATCTGTTCTGACGAAGAAGCAAACTCATCTACATCTTGGATGGCCTAAGGATGAATATATTTTCAGGAAAAAATTTCATTTTTGGGTAAACTATTCCTTTAAACATTTCAATACAGAGTGCTTTCAGATCACTACAATCAATGCAAAAATATTCTCTTTCCTTACCTTTTGAAAAGATCATAACAGCAAGTTTCAATGTTAGGTATAGTGGTATTGAAGTCTGCATTTCGAAACAGATCCACACAGTCCAACGGAGGAATGAAAAGTATACCTACAGGCAGAACAATGCTAAACTTAACTCAATATCAGATTGTACTTAATCAAAACCACCAGATGGGGGGCTGTGGCATAGTGGTTAATCTGTGCTGGTTACTCATATTAGGTTAAAGGTTTGAACCTGGCAAGGGGCAATTCATAACCCATCACTGTTCTGGCTTCATAGAGACTATCCATTTAATGTGTAACGTAATCTGCTTTGAATAAAAATGTCTGCTAAATTAACTTAATGGTGTGTGGTGATAAAGCTGTGGTGTTGATAAAAAGTTAAAACAGATTTTAATAATTACAGATTGCTTACCAGCAACACAGGCATTGATCAGGGAAACACATGTGCCTGTGAACAAGGCTCTGAGCACTAAAGTAGATATGACACTCTTCTTTGGTGGACAAATAGAGGCTATGGAATAATAATAATAAAAAACAAATCAGTAAATGATATGTTACAAAAATTGGTGATACTGAACAATGGTGATAAGAAGTCATAAGGCATATTATTAGCACTAAAATCATTAAAGCACACTTCATACAAGTGCTTTGAATAGATACTCACACAGGCCTCCAATCACAATACCAAGAGAGCTGAAATTAGCAAAGCCACACAGTGCATAGGTGCAGATAATTTCTGATCGAATCTGCAAGCAGTTTGGACAACATACTTTTCAGATTATGCATTTGACTATTTATTATGTTTATTAACTGTGTATTTATACTCAATTTGATGAGACATTACATAAATACTTACTGAGAGCCAACTTTTATCTACACCATCTTCTAAAATGCCATTAAGTCTGTTGTTTTTGAGCACTGACAGCTTCTCATAGGCTATAAACTCATTGAGGAAGAGTTTAGTGCCAATAAGTTCAGCCACTGTAAAAGACTCCTCGTATGGAATTCCCATCATGAAGGCCACCGGCATAAACACGTAGGAGCAGATCAACTGAGGAGTTGAAGGTAACAACTCTTTTAAAACACTTTTGAATATAAAAATATGAAGGATGATGATGTGTTTTGATGTAACATGTAAGTACATTACCATTCAAAGGTTTGAGGCAGTTTATATTTTTATAGAGCAAAGATGCGTTAATTTAAACAAAAGTAACAGTGAAAACATTTATGATGTTACAAAATATTTCTATTTCAAATAAATGCTGTTCTTTTGAGCTTTCTATTTATCAAAGGATCCTGAAGTAATGTATTACGAATTCCACAAAAACAGAAATGTTTTGTGAAGACTGAAGTAATGGCTGCTGAAAGTTGAGTTTTGCCATCACATAAATAAATGACTTTTTAAAATAAATTCAAATAGAAAACAGTTATTTTAAATTGTAATATTATTTCAGAAAATTACTGTTTTTACTCTATTTGTGATCAAATATATGCAGCCCTATACTAAGCAAAAGAGAAAAAAACAATAAAAAGTCTTACTGACCCCAAACTTTTTTGAACTGTACTACACACACATGCATTTACCAAAAAAGCCACACAGGATTGGGTAATACACACCTCAAAAGTGACATCTGGGTATCCCACCATGCCTCCCAACCATCTCAGAGTAGCATTTATAAAGTCCAAAATGGCAAGGAAAGCAATCAAGTTAGCAGCGATGTTGGCCACAAGTCCTATTGATGCAGATGCGCCACCGCTGACAGCTTCCAAGACATTCTGTTCACCACTGAACACACACACACACACAAAACATTTTAACATGCAACATACAATATTTAGAAACCTAAAGTTTATATTCAACAGGAGAACCCACCCGCCATCAACTTTAATCTGACTCTTAGATGTGAACTTGCTCTTTTCAGTTTCAGGGTAGGACAATTTGGAGATGGCTAAAGCACATGGAGCAGCCATCACTGATGCAGAAATCAGAGACGAGGCATCAATCTGTGTAGAGGAGATTTATTATGCCTTAGAGAAATGAACAAACTGCAAACTAAAGAACTAAACGTTCCAGCTTTCCATGGAAGAATTTTATAATAAAAAGAAGTACATGTTGTCGTACCCCAAATGAGATGAATGCACCCATAACACTTCCTGCAATGGTGGCAAATCCTCCAGTCATGACAGCATGAATCTCAGATTTGGTCATGTCCTTTAAATAAGGCCGAATCAAGAGCGGTGCCTCTGTCTGGAAAAAAAATCTAAACATTACAACATTATGACAGTAATGAGCTACAATCAATAATGCTATAATGCTTTGTTGTGTTAAAGGAGCTTCTCCTTCAAGAAACTGATGCACATATAAATTTGTCAAGAAATGCTTTAAGACTAATTTGAGAAATTTGATTTTTTTAATAATTACGTACATTATAGGAATGATGACAGAATATTACCTGACCAACAAATATGTTCCCTGCCACACTGAGAGTCTCTGTAGAGGAGGTTCCCATCGTTACCTGCATTACCCAGGAAATCTTGGCATAGAAAAATACTTTATTAATATACAGTATATGAAGAACATATCTTGAAAGTCTCATAGGTTAAATGAACACAAGACTGGATGTTTCACTTTTACCTTTGTGATGATCCATTGCATCAAACCCAGGTAGTACAGCACTGACATTACACTGCTGAAGAACACCACTATAGGCAGAGCCTGTGAGTATTGAGCAACATTCAATAGTAAAAATAAACCCATCCATGCATTTCATGTCAAGTATGTGCCATTACTAACCTGGAAAGCAAATATGTTGTCAATGAGGTTTCCAAACACAAATGATGAACCAGCTTTTGTGTAGTCCAGAAATATCTAAAAAAGAAAGAAAGACATGATTTAGAACATGGACAAAGATATGGATTTAGAACATGGCAGCCATATCAAATTCTGTTTTTCTTTCTCTCCTGCAGATTAAATAATCAATCATTATTGTTTTGTTGTAATAAGTTACCACAGATTGTAACACATTAACTTAATTTAGAGAGATATCTTTCAAAGTATGCTGGACATTATATTAGTTTACACAATACAGAGGTGTTCAAATGTCTGTGAAAATGCTCCTGTTTTGCATTTTTCTAATTTAATAAAAATCATAATAATGATGTTTTATATTATACCTGAACTTGCTTTCCAAGCCATTCAAATGCTACAAGACCAGGCTCTGTCCTAATGACAAACAGGCCAATGGCAAATTGTAAACCGAGTCCCCAGAAGACTGTCCTCCAGCTCACCTAATCAGAATTTAATGCAAACAACATTTTCGTTAACAACCACACTAATTTAAACAATGTTCCTTTAGCATCTACAACTGTCTCATTCTTAGTAAATAATAGGTGTATCCTCAACAATCTGATAAGGTTTGTAGGAAATCCAAAGTCTAAAAAATACATTTTGAGATAAGCACGTTCAATAAAGCATGTGTGCAGGAATGTGTGTTTTATTACTCACTGCGGTTCTGTGTGCAGAGAAGAGAAATATGGCAATAATGAATAGACAGACACCACCAAAAGAGATGAGCTGCTCTGGGCGCTTTCGTGTGTCGATTGCCAGCCATGCCACCAGCAGTCCCACCACAATTACTATGAACACCCTGCAACATACAGAGATACATTGTCAGGGTTGTGGACTTACTTCTGGCCACTAGAGGCCCCCACTGCCTTTTTGTTGGGTTTCAGTCTCTGTCATTACGTCTAATAGTTGTCACCTGTGCCTTGTTTCTGGTCGTGTATTTAAGCCACCCTTCTCCTGAGTACTTTGCTCTGTGTTTCCCGTGCCATGACCAAGTCTAGGTCAGTCTCATGCTCTGCTTAATGGATTTATGTTTTGTTTTTTTTTTGTTTTGTTTTTTTTATGTGCTCATTGAAACTGTTTGGAGTCACTCACATATTTTCTTTGTGAACTTTTTAAATGCCTTATGGATTTACTTTGTGGACCTATGGGAATTACTTTTTGGAAGTATTGACATGTCTTTTGATTTTGAATGGACTCTTGAGAACTTTTTGTATGCCTTCTGGATTAACTTTGTGGACTCTTGGGATTTACTTTTAGAAAATGTTGTCAAACCTTTTTGCACTATTGGAACATTTTGAGCTGACTTTCTGGATTTATCTTGTGGAGTTTTGGACTTGCATTTTCATCAAATTAAAGATCTGAAAACATTCCCTCAGAACTGTGATCTGGTTATCTACATTTGGGTCCACCTCTTTTGATTGTTTTCACACTAGTCCTGTCCACACATTTCTGACAGAAACACTGGGCCAGACATAGACCCAGCTGATTCGTACCATGCCCAGGACCTTCGTGGGGCAGTTGCTCATCAGGAGGCAGCCTTAGTCCAACATGAGACCTTTGGGCCATGGAGAAATCATTCACCAAACACTTCCACTACGTCTCTCCATTCTTCAACACCAAGAGGAGATATCTTTCCATCTCATCCAGTCTCCTGTATTCCCTGTAATCTTGGGCTTCCAATGGCTTCTCCTCGACCTCTCTCGAGTGCCCCTGTGTATCATCCTTACAAGGAGGTCTTCAGCAAGAGCAAGGCCACCACATTACCACCTCATCGGCCGTATGATTGTGCCATCTATCTGCTTCCAGGCAATATTCCCCCAAGAGACCATATTTTTTCATCGTCTCCTCCAGAGCGGGCAGCTATCGACAGTTATATTGAGAAAGCCCTCGCTACAGGGTTCATCCGGGCCTCAACCTCCCCTGCTGGGGCGGGGGGTTTCTTAGTGGGCAAAAAAGATGGTGGCCTTCGCCCATGCATTTACCATATTGTCCCGAATATAAGACTTTATTTTTTCTTGATACGGTATTACAGAGGCCTAAACAAAATCACGGTTCAAACCGCTACCCTCTACCCCTCATGTCCTGTGCCTTTGAGTTGCTTCAAGGAGCCTCAATTTTTACCAAACTTGACCTCTGCAACGCATATCATCTGGTGCACATAAGGCAAGGGGATGAGTGGAAAATGGCATTCAACACCCCTGAGTATCAAGTTATGCCCTTTGGACTCACTAATTCTCCAGCTGTTTTTCAGGCCCTAATCAATGATGTCCTTCATGACATGTTAAACCAGTTTGTGTTCATCTATCTAGATGACATTCTGATTTTCTTGGGATCCTTGCAAGAACACACAAAGCATGTTAAAAAAGTCCTCCAACGCCTCCTGGATAACCACTTGTACATTAAGCCAGAGAAATGTGAATTCCATGTGTCTGAGGTGCAGTTCCTGGGATTCATTATTACCCCAGTTATCATCCAGATGGATCCAAGAAAAGTCCAGGCTGTCACCAATTGGCCTACCCCCACCAATTTGAAGGAGGCTCAACGTTTTTTGGGATTTGCACATTTCTATCACAAGTTTGAATGGAACTTTAGTGCAGTAGCAGCTCCTCTCTCAGCCCTCACCAAAGGGAAAACCTCTAAATTCCTCTGGAGCTCTGAGCCCGAGGAGGCCTTCAAGGAAGTAAAGCGCCATTTCACCACTGTTACTATTCTGACTCTCCCTGATCCTGAAAAGCCGTTTGTAGTTGAGGTTGATGCCTCGGATGTGGGAGTGGGAGACATTCTCTCACAGTGAGGGGGGACAACAAGCTTCACCCTTGTGTCTTCCTGTCACATCGATTAACACCTGCTGAAAGAAATTATGATGTGGGGGATTGAGAACTGTTGGCGGTCAAACTAGCACTAGAAGTGTGGAGGCACTGGCTTGAAGGGTCACAACACCAGTTCTTAGTCCTCACAGATCACAAGAATTTGGAATATATCCAACAGGCTAAGCAACTCAATCCTCGCCAGGCTCGATGGTCACTGTTTTTCAACAGTTTATTTCATCGTCCAGGATCCAAGAATTTGAAAACAGAGTCCCTGTCTCGAGTTTTCTCACCCACTGGTCAAGAGGAGCCAGTAGGTCTCATCATTCCTAGCTCTAAGGTGGTGGCTCCACACAAGTTTTTAATACTTGGGGAAGATCCTCCAACATGTTCTCTTTGCTGAATACCTTTATCCATTAAGCATGTTTCATTAGATTGAGCTGGTTTTAACTCTTTGAGAATTTTTTTATTCAGTTAACTCTTTTGAAGAGATTTTTAACAGAGTTAAGCCAAATATAGTTTTGGAGTTTTTAGCAAAAATAAATTATAAAAACATTATATAATACAGCCTTAATATTTCTCACCATGAAAATAGCCACAGAAGCTGGATTGGTGTTAAACACAAACAAACAAACAAACAAGGTGGTGGCTCCAGTTAGATGGAAAATTGAAGCCACAATAAGGAGGGCTCAAGTTCAAGAACCTGAACCTGACCCTGGAGGGGGACCAGCTAATTGTCTATTTGTCCCGAGCACTTTCTGTTCCCAGGATCTCAAATGGGGTCACAGCTCTGACCTTATCTGCCATCCCGGTGCTACTCAAACCCTTGATTTCCTTCTAAGAAAGTTTTGGTCGTCTTCAATTAAGGAAGATGCTCAGGCAATTGTGGCTGCATGCCCAACTTGCAACCAGGGGAAAGTACTCCATCAATCCCCTTAACGATTGCTACAGCCCCTCCCCATTCCCCAACAGCCCTGGTTGCACCTCTCAATGGACTTCATTACTGGACTCCCACCATCCCAAGGTAAAACCACTATTCTAGTAATAGTCGACTGATTATCAAAGGCTTGCACATTTATCCCTTTGCCCAAGTTACCTTCTGCCAAGGAAACTGCTGAAATTGTCATTGAGCATGTGTTTCGGGTCTTTGGGATTTCCACAGGACATCGTCACTGACAGAGGACCACAATTTTCATCCCACTTCTGGCATGCCTTCTGTCGCCTGCTGGGGACAACGGTGAGTCTGTTCTACGGTTTCCACCCAGAGTCTAATGGACAAACTGAGAGACTGAACCAGGACCTAGAAACCACTCTGAGGTTCATGACAGCTAACAACCTGATATCCTGGGCATCTTTTGTCATTTGGGCAGAGTATGCTCATAACACTCTGCATTCCTCAGCAATCAGCATGTCTCCCTTTGAGTGCCAGTTTGGGTTTAAACCCCCATTGTTCCCTGACCAAGAGGCAGAGGTTGGGGTTCCATCAGCTCTACGCTTTGTTCGATGCTGCCGCCTAAACTGGAGGAAGGCTAGGCTCAAGCTTCTGCAAGCCTCTCAGCAGTATCAATGCCAGGTCAATCATCATCGCTCTCATTGTTGCTCTCTACTAAGAATCTGCCTGCTTGTGGAGTCCCGCAAGCTGACTCAACGTTTCATCAGTCCTTTCCATATTTCAAGGAAAGTAAATCCAATTACCAACCGATTGTTCTTGTCTACATCACTAAAAAAATAATCCTACCTTCAATGTGTCTTTACTAAAACCTGCTGTTTCTTCTCCTTTCCAGTCAGACCTCCCCCTCGTTCTCGGATCACTGGGGTCCAGCCTGCTTACACGGTCCATTGGATACTAGACTCTCGTCACGTATGGAGATCCCTTCAGTACCTGGTGGACTGGGAAGGCTATGGCCCAGAGGAATGCTCCTGGGTCCCTTCCCGGGACATCCTTGACCCTGAATCGGGGGTCCTGTCAGGGTGGTGGACTAATTTCTGGCCACTAGAGGCCCCCACTGCCTTTTTGTTGGGTTTCAGTCTTTGTCATTATGTCTAATTGTTGTCACCTGTGCCTTGTTTCTGGTTGTGTATTTAAGCCACCCTTCTCCTGAGTACTTTGCTCCGTGTTTCCCGTGCCATGACCAAGTCTAGGTCATTCTCATGCCCTGCTTAATGAATTTATCCTTAAACAACTTTGTGCATCTGGTATAGTTCCTTTGTTTTGAATTTTTGACATGTGCTCTTTGAAACTGTTTGGAGTCACTCACAGATATTCTTTGTGAATTTGTTTGAATGCCTTTTGGATTTACTTTGTGGACCTATGGTAATTACTTTTTGGAAGCATTGACATTTCTTTTGTTTTTAAATGGACTCCTGAGAACTTTTTGAATGCCTTATGGATTTACTTTGTGGACCTATGGTAATTACTTTTTGGAAGCATTGACATTTCTTTTGTTTTTGAATGGATTCCTGTGAACTTTTTGTATGCCTTCTGGATTAACTTTGTGGACTTTTGGGATTTACTTTTTGATACTCATGTCAAACCTTTTTGCACTATTGGAATATTTTGAGCTGACTTTCTGGATTTATCTTGTGGAGATTTTGGACTTGCATTTTCATCAAATTTAAAAATATGAAGACATTCCCCCAGAACTGTGATCTGGTTATCTCAACCTTTTCGGCCCCCTGTTGTCCAACACAATACTCAAAGGCTCACAGATATAAGCTATTTTCAATATTTCTGCTGTAATTATGACAAAGCTTTTTTTTTTTTTTCAAACTTTCTTACTAACAGAAACTTGGCATATTGATATATTAAATGAATTAAACAATTCATTTTTTCTGAATTTAAAGGGGTCATATGATGCAATTTCATTTTTTCCTTTCTCTTTGGAGTGTTACAAGCTCTTGGTGCATAAAGAAGATCTGTAACAATTAAAAGCATTTTCTGAAAAGAAAAATACATTTTATTTTTATTATATTATAGAAATAATTATTAGAATTAGTTTTTAGGTTACAGCTTGACTTTACTTTTTTTTAGCATTTTAATTTATTAATTATATTTTTATTATTTTAATATACTAATAGTATTTTTTTATTTAAATACTGTTTAGTCACCTTGAGACCAACTTGGAAATTTGCTGGGGTCGTCTAGCACAGTGGTTCCCAACCCTGGTCCTGGAGGCACCCCAACACTGCACGTTTTGCATGCCCCATTAATCAAACACACCTGATTCAGGTCATCAGCTCATTAGTAGAGACTCCAAGACCTGAAACTGGTGTGTCAGAGAAAGGAGACATGCAAAATGTGCAGTGTTGGGGTGCCTCCAGGACCAGGGTTGAGACCTCCTGGTTGAGAACCACTGTTTTAGAGTCACATCAATTTGCAGGACAGTTTGGAAGGCTAATTCACTATGGGAATGTCCTGAGTGTTTTTAGAATGATTTCAATTCTGAGGGGAAAAAAGTCTAAGGTAAAGACTGATTTTGCGGTTTTGTTCTACAGCAAGTGCACAGTCAAAACATCAAACATGAATTTTGTGACCTTTAAAAACTTAAGTGGCTAACAAGTTGCTATTTAAGTACATAGCTCACATTTTTGTGCTAGTTGTAGCCATGATGTACAGTAGCAACTTGTCAGCAGCAGGCTAACAAAAAAAAACACTCTTCTAAATACCATAGGAAATTCCAGAGGGAATAGTTCTCTTCTGAACAGATCTTTTAGTCACCTCCAAACCATTCCAACTAACTAATTACATACACTACAGTTCAAATGTTTGGGGTCAGTAGGACTTTTTTTTAAATAATTCCTTAATAGCAAGGGTGCATACATTGATCAAAACGATAGTAGTGACATTTAGAATGTTACAAAATATTCAAATTTCACAGCACAACTTTTTT